GATCTGCAAACAGCACACTGGTTATTTGTTCAGGGTTAATCTGGGTCGAACATGTTAAACTCCGGCCATCCAGTCTTGCTATACGAACCAGCTGCGACTGCGAGTCGGCATTTAATTGCGGAAATGTACATCCAGAAAAAAGTACGGTTGAGCAGAGACTTACTGTAATGCGACTACTAGAAATCTGTTCTCTCAGATAGAAACATCATGGCTAGTCACTGCTAGATTTGCTATGGTGCAAATCGCACCTTTCTTATAGATTGCTCGTGGCTCATGAGTGCATGATCTTGTGTCTGCATCTGAAAATCGTTTATCGGCAGCATTCGGTGATATTGAGATGATATTGCAACATCACATGGATTCAAAGACTAGGTCGTATATGCGCAAGGTCGGATGCCCGCGGGTGGTTTGAGAAAATTTCAAGCCTACCAACTGTCAGGAACTATCCAGGTCTCCTGCAGACATCCATGTTCATCCCCCCCGCCACTTGATAAAATATGACATAACCCTGACAGATTCGTGTACCCCCAAGAAATAAAATGCGCCAACCTGTTGCTTTTTCCCGAGAGCGCCTGCGAAGGGTTCTTCGTAAAAAAGAAGCCGTTATACTACATCTTCACACCTTCACATCTGCTGATCTACATCTTCACACCTTCACATCTGCTGATCTAGATCTTCACACCTTCACACCTGCAGATTCACACCTTCACACCTGCAGATCTAGATCTTCACACCCTCACATCTGCAGATGTAGATCTTCACACCCTCACACCTGCAGATCTACATCTTCACACCCTCACACCTGCAGATCTAGATCTTCACATCCTCACACCTGCAGATCTAGACCTTCACACCTTCACATCTGCTGATCTAGATCTTCACACCTTCACACCTGCAGATCTAGATCTTCACATCCTCACACCTGCAGATCTAGATCTTCACACCCTCACATCTGCAGATCTACATCATCACACCCTCACACCGGCAGATCTAGATCTTCACACCCTCACACCTGCAGATCTAGATCTTCGCACCCTCACACCTGCAGATCTAGATCTTCAGACCTTCACATCTGCAGATCTCCTCTCGCTCTTCTTCTATTCTCTCTTAAGGCGGGGGCGGTGCCGCCGGAGCGCCACGAAACGCAACCCTTTCGCACGAAATGGACGTTGGACGTCCAAAACCTAGGTAAAATTGCGATTTTGAAGTGTCCATCGCAACCCTTTCGCACGAAATGGACGTTGGACGTCCAAAACTGAGGGAAAAATTGCGACTTTGATGCGTCGCGCGCAACCCTTTCGCACGAAATGGACGTTGGACGACAAAAACTGAGGAAAAATTGCGATTTTGAGGTGTCAATCGCAACCCTTACGCACAAAATGCACGTTGGACGTCAAAAACTGAGGAAAACTTGCGACTTTGAGGTGTCAATCGCAACCCTTACGCACGAAATGGACGTTGGACGTCAAAAACTGAGGAAAAATTGCGATTTTACTTGGTCAATCGCAACCCTTACACACGAAATGGACGTTGGACGTCAAAAACTGAGGAAAAATTGCGATTTTACTTGGTCAATCGCAACCCTTACGCGCGAAATGGACGTTGGACGTCAAACACTGAGGAAAAATTGCGATGGACGCTTTCGTTTGTGTAAAAGTGTCTGTGTGTAAAAGCCTCTATGTGTATAAGCGTCTGTGTGTAAAAGCGTTTGTGTGTGAAAGCGTGTGTGCGTGTGTAAAAAGCATCTGCGTGTAAAAGCGTATGTGTGTAAAAGTGTCTGTGTATAAAAGCGTCTGTGTGTTAAAGTGTTTGCGTGTAAAAGTGTCTGTGTGGAAATGCGTCTGTGTGTGTGCGTGAAAAACGTCTCTGTGTGAAAGCGTCTGTGTGTAAAAGTGTCTATGTGTAAAAGCTTCTGTGTGTAAAAGCGTCTCTGTATAAAAGCATCACGTTTCTTCGCGTTCACGGAATGATGGTGCCGAGCCTTTTTCCGCAATGTGTGTGGGAATTACCATAATAAAATGAGATAACACATGTCATTCGCAGACTCATGGTACCATTTCTCCATGTTTTCTTTCTACCCCCCCTTTCATTCTCTCTCTCTCTCTCTTGCTTTCTCTTTCTCTCTCTCTCTCTCTCTCTCTCTCCCTCTCTCTCTCCCCCCTCTTTCTCTCTGTGGTTGCAAGACACATGTCATCTGATGCCCTTTACCAAATATTCTCTTCTTGATCAATCTTACCTTTTTCACGCCAAATCCTGCCATAGCTCATACAAAATTCACCAACTATTCACCGACTCTATTTTACGACTACCATCCTCAGAGCTGCTTGAAAAACGTGTTTTTCGCTCTCGGGCCAACCGTCGTCTAGTTTCTCAATGATGCATAATGATGCAAAACAATTTGCCTGTTTGTTTAGCTTTATCTGTTGCCCCACACTGTTTGAAGGGGTGTATTTATCGAAGGAAGTTTAGAAATCAAACCTCCGACAATATGGACAGATGGAATAGCAGAGGCGGGAAGAGTCAGAGAGGAGAAGACAAGAAGAGAGAAGATCAGAGAGGAGAAAGAGTGAGAAGGAAGAAGATGCAGGTGCGCGAAAAAATAGGAAAGTCGCGATTCACTGTGTTTTTCCAATGATTTGTGGCTCCAGAGGGTCGAAAAGTAACCTCGCTAAAGCGGCGGGATGCGGAGCCATCTGGCCAGATGAGAAATGAAAAGTTGCACGCCGTTGTAGCGCGAAGCACATTTCCAAGTCAAAATGCGCAAAGCACCTCAGCTTCGGAGCAGTTCTAGAAGTCGCGATGTCGAAAAAGTGTACGCCGTTGTGGCGCGAAGCACATTTCCAAGTAAAAAAAAGACATAAGTCAGCATGTTCGGACCACTTTTGGTAGTTGAGACGGCGCAACGAAGCACATTTCCAAGTCATGCACAAAACACACCAACGTCGGAGCACTTTTGGAACTTGAGATGTCGAAAAAGTGCACGCCGGTGTGGCGCGAAGCACATCTCCAAGTCAAAAGTGTCAAAAACTGACGGTCCCAGACCACTTTTGAAAATTGAGATGTCGAAAAATTGCACGCTGTTGTGGCTTTCCAAGTCAAAATGTTAAAACCACCACATGCTCGAACCACTTTTTGACGTGCAGATGTCGAAAAAAGTTGCACGCTGTTGTGGCGCGAAGCACATTTCCAATTCAGAATGCACAAAGCGCCAGATGTACGGACCACTTTTGACGGTTGAGATGTGGTTTTGCGTGGCAAGCGCAAGGGATTTTGCACCTTGTCAAAAGTGAGCAAAAGGTGAAGGTCTTGCAACAGTTTCAACTACAACTACAACTACAATACACTACACTACAGTAGACTACACTACACAACACTCCACTACACTAGATAGATTACACTATACATTACACTACACTACACTACACCCCACTACACGACACCGCACTGCATTACACTACATTACGCTACACTACTGTATACTACACTACACAACACCCCACTACTACTGTATACTACACTATACAACAGCCCACTACACTACACTTCACTCCACTACATTACACTACACTTCACTCCACTACACTACATTACACTACACTACCGTATACTACACTACACAACACTCCACTCCTCTACACTACACCCCACAACACTACACTACATTGCACTACATTACACTACAGTACACTACACTACACTACAATATACTACACTACACAACACTCCACCACACTACACTACACTTCACTACACTACACCACACTCCACCACACTACACAACACTCCACTCCATTCCACTCCACTCCAGTCCACCCCACTACACTACACTCCACCACATTACACTCCACTACACTACATTGCTCTACACTACATTACACTACATTACACTACCCTCAACTGCACTATGCTACACTGCACCTACAACTACAACCACAACTACAACTACGCTACTTTACACTACACTACACTACACTAGACTACACTACATAGCACCTCCGTACATTACATTACACCAGCTCCATTACACCGCCACAATTTAACTGCAAATACACTACGCTAACTACACTACACCGCAACTACAACTCCACTACGTTGCAACTACAGCTGCACTACACCACACTCAATCCAGCAGTTGTGGGTGAGGTGACCACTGCAACCATTACAACCACTCCAACAAACACAAATCCAACCACCTTTCGGTCAATCAGTGAATTCCCTCTGCCATCCGTGATTCACAACAACCAGCCTCTCCTATAGTTTTCCTATTCTAAAACTTCCGCCACCGCCGTGCGCGGTACTACTGGTATGATGGGGACATGAGAAAAAGAAACAGCGCCCAAACTTAATACTTAATGGCTAGCATGTAGTCGTTGAGTCGTGGTCGTTGATTCATGGTCGCTGACTCGCCTATGTGGTCGCTGATCTGTGAAATGTGGTCGCTGATTCTGATTATGTGGTCGCTGACTCGTGGTCGCTGATTCTTGGTGACTGATTCGGAGGGCTGGTCTCTGATTCGGAGTTTTCTCTCCAGTTTTGGCCAAAAGTGTTCCGTGCCCTTCGGTTTTTAACATTTTGAGGTGGAAGCTACAGTCCTGTGCGCTTTTTGTCGACAGGCTTTCCCAGATCGAGGCCCGCACCCGCGGAAACAGAGACCCTACTTCATTCAGCGACCCCAGGACTCACATTACCCGAAAAAACAGAGGGTTTCGTGCCTGAGATTTTTTTTACCCGTGAATTCACATGCTTCCGAACTGTTACACTTCCCAACTACTTGATGATGGGTGGTTGGCATCATGATGTGGTTGACATGATGGTGGGAGTGCTAACCATGACAATCGTCCGTAACTCGGAAGTTTTCTAACTAAACTTCCATTGATTATAATCGCTATATGACAATACTGACACAGCTTGCAAGCGATTGCTATTTTGCAAGCTGAAAAAATCGCTTGGCAGTGCAGTTGATCGGGGCAGAGCTTTAGGGCACTTTGTAGCCGCGGAACCTGTGCATGCGACCAATAACCTGAAGTCGGGCCAAGTCGGACAGTCTGAAGGAAAGTCTGCTTGGGACATTTTGAACGTTATTGAATTTGGTGGCTTGTTTGAGTTGGTGCCTTGGACCCTCAGATAAGCAAAACATGATCAAATGGGTGGTTCTGACCTGAACTTCTTTTAACCAAACAGTGCGATCCTCCTGGTGGGAATCCGTTGTCTTTGAACACGAGGCGCTTCAGTCCTCTTACGCAAACAAATCATGAAGAGCCCATCAACATCTATTAGCCCCTGAAAGACACGCATAGAGATCTCAAACATGAGGAATCGAAAAACCAAGAGCAGCGAAGCGATTTTGAACTTTGGTAGGAAGGACATCGCTTTCGGCCTGCAACTTTCACATGAGCACTGGGTGAATGATTTTAAAATGATCTTATGAATTTTTGCACCGCACCCACGATTTTCTTTATCCCCGACATGTCAAGCAGGGCTTTTCAGTGGAAGTCAAAGCCTAGCACAAACAGCACAAGCTGCACCTGATGACCCAAAGTCCCAATGCACCAAGGGACAGCGCTGTGGCCGACCTAAGGCAGGGGATGAAATGGGGCCGTGAAGTGCAAAATGTAGAGTGACAGAGTGACTCAAAGCACCGTGGGTGGGCAACTCATAGATTAGGAGTGGGATGCCGGTTGAATTCCGCTGTTTTCATGCTGATAATTGTAGACTGTGAGCGGGTTCCACATGCTACTCTGACAATGGCTCTTAGATGTTGATTCCTGAAACAACATGGCCTTTCTTATTTTTCTTGGAGTTTCTATCAGTTTCTGTAGTATCCCAACATTGCACAGAAACTCCATATTTCCGGCCAGAACCTCGGCCCTGCCCTCGGCTCTGCCAAGCTCGGCTCTGCCCTCGGCTCTGCCAAGGTTCCACCACAGGAATGTCGTCAAGCCATCGCACGCCATGCACTGGTCGGAAGCCCAAGTTTCTCCTGCGGCATGGCTCACATGGCTCACATGGCTCATCACGTAACATTGCCATGGCTGACTTCGACTTCATCTTCAAAACTGTGGCACAACTGTGGCACTGTGGCAACATGGCGTGGCAACATGGCGTGGCAACATGGCTTCGCCGCTCTCTGCTCTTCTCTTCTTCTCTGCTCTTCACTGCGCTGTTTCGCACCTGGAGGGCATTCTGCACAAATAGTTCCTGGCAAAGCAGCTCTTGCACATTCTGTGTCATGTCGTTGTATCCCATGGCACGGCATTATGTCGCTCTGGAAGGAACCCTTCACGATAACTTGAACAACTCCAAAAACTCGACCGATTCGAACAACTTCATGTTTCCAAGTTCTGTGAACACCTTCGTGGCAAAGGCTGAACACTTGGTAGGAAACACACCTGAATCGATACCATACGTACTACGCGGGGCGAAGAAAATAGGGTCCCACGTGTCTAGCGACAATAATTGGCAGGACATATCGCAGACCGTCTGCCGCATTGGCAGCTTAGGGAATGCGCCCCGCTGTTCCTTTGGCAAAGCGAGCAGCTTGTGTTGTGTCACGGTGGTGGAAGTGTAAAGCATTCTAGCAGCTAGCAATCGATGCGTCGAGCTGAGAGATGGTAAGAGAGCTTGTCGGTGTCAGCTTTGAAATGTATTTCAAATTCTGCCGGAAGTGGAACATCGATTTCATTTCGCCTGGGACTTCGTTGCCGGCACTTCTACTTTGACCTCGTTCACGCCTACCTCGCTTGCCTACATTTCTTCTATGACTCCGATGACTCCTGTTGATTCTTAGATGTATTGCGCGAGAAAGACTTGTTTGGTAGGAAATTCAAGTAAGCTTTTGGGGAAAAAATGGTTTCTAAACGCAATCATCAACAAAGACTGCTTTTGTCCCCCCCGTGGGGGGCTATCCAAAGCTTATATCAAAGGCCACCTTGCCTCTGGGTGCAGTGATTGCGCAGAGTCCAGGTTTACGAGGTTTATTGATGCTTGTTGCTGCTTGTTGATGCTGACAAGTTCGGGGATTTTTAAACTGAACTACCGAATTCTTGATCAAATTCCCAACACTCGCGGGCATTTTCAGCCACGAAATTGAGGACCCATGGCACCTAAGCGTCCTCCATTGCAGACTTGCGGTATCCCTCCAGGACAGAACCTCAGCGGGAAACTGCCAAAGAATGGAGGAATTGATATTTGTATCAACCAACTGATCAGTGAATCATAGTAATCCATGATCAGACACTATAGCCAATCCATGATTTTGCATGATTTTGCTATGTGGACTACATTCGACGACGCAAACTTAGCATCCTGAAATACTCGGACGCGATTGCACCGTGGGCTCGATGGACTCTATGGGTTGTGGTTTCGCCGGGCGAGCAACGTTTTCTCAATGCATTGAAAGACCTCCAAGGGAGAGTCCATGAAGCTGTAGAAACCTGCCAGGTTGATGAGGTGCAAGGGTTATGGATCTAAATTGCAAAAAACCAGCCATGGTGAAACTTGTGGAGCTGCTAAAACCAAATTTAGAACTTGAGCAGTGAAATGCCTAAATTCAGAACCTTTGACAGTCGGAACGATCGGAACACTTACTTTGATTTGTAGGCGGTTCGCACAAGAGCAATCATGCAAGGGCACTGGCGCCTTCTTTCAAAGCTGGTTGGTAATGTTCACCTAGTGGCGCTTCACCTGTCCTCAGCTTATGTCACTGTCCGGAGGAGAAAATATTCCTGTCAAGGCGAGGTCTGGACAAAAACGAGGCTTATGCAAACAAGGCAGAACAATCAGACCTCATTTCCAGCCACCATTTTTTCCTGGCAAATCGGTCCTTTCCCTGCATGATTGTTTGTTCTTGGCATGCCTATAGTCTTTCCATGTCTTTCTCATGCATTTGTTTCTTTGTCACAGGTTGAACCAGGCTGTTTCTATCATGATTTCTATGTTTGTGCTTTTGAATCAGCTTGGATGGGATGATGGAAGTCTGCAAATGGCTGGCATCAGCTTCCCAGCACTGGTGTCAAAAGTCACTAGTGTCTGTAGAGTCCATGTATTTGCTATCTTTGAAGATATGCAAAAAGAATAAAACACAGGGTGTCATTGTAGCTAAGCCTTCAAAGCGAAGAACATGTTCGCACAATTTGCAGATGTTCTTCAGCAAGTAAGAATGGATCGATTTTGGGGGGCATTGTCCATTCCTTTCTGGAGATTTGCATAGCACCACTTCTACCTTCACATTGACAAGTCACTTCAATGCATCCAAAGACGAGGAGAAAGGACAAGACAAGCCTCTCGCGGCAGCCAAGGTCGTTTGGCAAGCGACTGCTGGAATCGGGGGCAAATACAACCAAACCGGAACAAACCATTCAGTTTGAACCTCTCGTAAAGGAGGCATTCTTCATTGGTGCACGGAAATCCGTGGCAAAACTCCAAGTCCCCAAACCACAACTGCTCAACTGATCCCCTTCGTTTCCGCTGGTGGCAGCTTGGAATACAACTTTGGCGTCAGCAAGCCTTCGATGCAGCGAGTGCAGACCGCCTCTTGACCTTCATTGGCGATGTTGATACTCCCTGCTTCCTTGGCCCACAGCATGAAACAAATGGGTACAATGGGTACAAATGACAATTTTACTTTGAAGATGGGCAAACCCTCAGCTACATTGAGACATTAGGTGACATTGGGTGGGGAATATCTGTCTTAAGTGATTCTTACCGCTTGCTATGTGTCATTGTGCCCTGCTTTCATGTTGCTGCACACTTTTGGACCTCCCGTGGAAAATTCCGTGGAAAGGTGTCAGAAATTCGATGCTGGTCACGGGGTCACATTGCAGCCTCCACTAGGTCAGCAGGCGTAGCAGTATCAACATTTATCAAAAGAAAAAACGAGCAAAAAACGAACAAACAGGCACGAGATAATCGAGATGTCACCAGGCTTTGTGGTAACGTTTGTTCCTGAGGTGGTAACAGTAGCAACCATATGTAACCGTGATCGCCGACGTCTCTTCGAATTTAGCAAAGGCTCACAGCCACATTCCAAGACCTGCGTCTGATCTCCGAGCAAATTCTGCCCAAAATGCGATGGCAATTCCAATGTCGGCACATTACATGGACAAGTCTTCATCATGACAATCCTTTTGGTGACGTCTAATATCCACCTACATCCCCAGGAGGAGCAGGCACCACAGCAAAAGGATGTAACATGGGAGATATGCATAGATATATATAGATATGCTGGAACGAAGAAGTAGGTGACTTTTCAGAACTTCTGTGCTATCCATTCTGGACCCATTAAAAACCCATTTTGTCTATGTCCATTAGCGTTTGAATCTTACTCAGTGCAACCAGTGTAAAGTCATAAAATATCCTGCTACCTGGCTTGGATGAGTTTCCACAGTTCAATCGCCGAGTTGCAGATGCAGATCCCAAACCCAGTGTTGTTGTGGAGACAGGGCATACCTGACCGGGTCATGCGCCGGATGGCTGTTGAATGCTGTTGAATGCTGTTGGGATCTCTAGAAGACGTGTCTTGACCTGTCTTCTATGTTCTTGGAATACCTTATCCCGTGCAGACTTTGGAGATGGTCACAGCCTGTTCAAAATCGCACGCTTGGGGAGAAAGCTACTACTTAAGCAAAGACAGCACGTCTAGCTTGCAGTCCTTGACATGGAACTGGTAAGGAATTCTGACACTTTGGGGCTTCAAGCAGGGATGAATGAAGGAAACAAACAGGACTACCTTAGCACCTTCGCAGGGATGGGCTGCTGAAATTTAAGCTCTTGCCGTCTTCACTTTATGAGGAGCTTTATGTCTCTCACCTGTTATCATAAAATAACACTTTATGGGGTTCCAAAATCTGAGCCTTCCATCCTTTGAGCCTTGGATGATCATCCTGGGGGATCCAGTTTCAGACCGTTTCAGACACCGGCAGCCGGCACCAGATACCAGGATACCTTGCATTGACTTTGTCCCTTCGTATCCTGAGGTATCAAGGTCAAGGGATGGCATACAGGAAATGGTGCAGGGGACCCATGGTGACACGTGGAAACCTGCGTCCTGGTGCACTTGATGAGCCTGTGCGTGAAGAGCTAGTAATAAACTTGTCATGATTGGATCTCCTATTCCTCATGACCATCATCATGCTTCTTTGGTTTGTTGAATACATGGAGACCAGTGGACGAAAAGAATTGTTTCACAGTTGGAGAAGCGCGTCCAAAACTCCAATTGTTGCTCCAGGTCACAATGGTGGGAAGAACCAGTGGCACAGTATCCACCATTTTCCCACCAGTTTCCACCCATTTCAACACCTTCTTGTTTTTAGGAACACTTTCGCACCAGCTGACGAGACCTCACCACTTCACCGAGTGTCTTGATATTTGCCTTGGCCACAGCGCTTGCAGCTCGTGCTTCCGAACTCGTCTTGATACTCCCCGGTCCTCAGGCATCACCCTCATACGCAGGTTACCCGAGCTTCACACAGTGTTCACACCAGGTGCTGGGGCACAAGGTCATGCCTGGATCTTGTAGAAGCTTTGTGGGACCTTTGTGGGACCCATGGAATTGTAAACACAAATTATGGTATCTGAACCGCCAGGAATGCTAGCATTTTTTATGATCTTCCTTCTACACAAACAGCATGATAGGTGGAGCAGTGGAGCCATGGCAAAATGTGAACCGTCGCGACCCAAGACTTTTTGGATCGCAAGCATCACGACACGATCTGTCGATATCTGTCCACTGTGCGGACGAGGGACGGGCAGGGGTCGCATTGTAAAGAAGCACCCGAAGGCTGCGTGGTTCCCGGAGCGCAAGGCATACACACCTAGAGTATCCTAGAGTATCCTAGAGTACACAGAACCTTCGAAGGAGCAACAAACCGACGGGAATTTGGTCGGTGTTTGAACATGCCCTAGATGGAGGCCGTCTTCAGATCCAAGGATCCTACCACCAAACAATTGCGCTACACACTCGACATGAATTCCACATGACATGCACTTTGTCCTCAGGTCCGGTGTTTGGAAATTTCGTCTGGAACCCCAATGCATAAAATGAATTGTCAACATGTGTCAACCAACAGCCTAACATAGCCTAGCTTCCATACATTTCCACACAATCCTCAACTTTCTTCGGCCGAGCGGCATGGGTAATTCCACGGCCATCTTTGATACGATTCGAATAGAAGCCAGAATCACATGCCCGACAAGTCCTGGAGTTCTGGTGCTGAAGCCGAAGTCGAAGTCGATAGCTTCATCAACAGCTGCAATACGGTCTTTGCAACCAGCAATTCATATAATTCATGGGAATCCTTTTGCCACTCCGAAATACATGAAATCACAGGACGCGTGTGAATAGTCATGAACATTATCACTCCAAAGCTTCCAAACAATAATGAAAGACCTATGACTAACTTGATGGCGTTCAATGGATTGTTACTATATTTCAGCCATGCAAAAGAAATGTTGACAATGTTGACTCTCACTTTCAGATTGGTACAATTTGGTACAGCTGCCTCGCAGCACTGCTCTACCGTTTGTGGCATTTTTTTCTCGCATCCGTTTGTGGGAACATAAAAATACAGAGTAAATTGAGTAAATTGAGTAAATACTATTGAAGTTGATGCTTCTGGATGCTTCCCCTTGGAAGTTTGCACCAAGGCAACAGTTTCCGAGGCCCTTCAGGCCCTTCAGGCCCTTTCAGGCCCTACATTGGAGCAGTGACGCAACAACCTCCGTATATACGCCGTATATCTGGTTGTATGTCTGGTTGAGTGAGAAACTCTTGATGAATTCTTTGCTTTCTTGGGATTTCTTGGGGTCTTCAAGTGAATTACCCGAGGCACCTGATCAACACTCTACGTTTACCCAAAACATCCCAAAACTATGATTTCATGATTTCAGCCTATTTCAGCCTATTTCAGCCAATGGTTCTCCAAGCGGCAAACCAGCAGGATCTGTGCGATCTTCCACAAACCTCGACATCACGACGGCGAAGACACGAAGACGGCAAGGCCATGCAAGGCCCTTCATCAATCACTGCGGCAAAATCATGGACTTCGACATCTCGAGAATCTCACCATTCTCCTAGAGCTATCCAATGCTATCCATACAGGAAGCCTCTGCAAATATCACTGTCGAAATTCATTGAGTTTCTCAGGGCGGATATTTTCTGAGTCAAGGTTGCCAAAGGTTGCCAAGATTATCGGAGTGACTTGGATTCTTGGAGATCAGATCTCTCAAGGCTGCGCCATATTTCGAAATGGACAGTTTCAAATCGAGATCGGATCTTTTTGTATCAAAGCCTTTGATTGTTTCCCAACTGGGCAGATACGTGCGAAATCCACAAGTCATCTGAGTCATCCGAGGCATCCAAAAATTCAAAGTATATTTGGAGGATGCTGCGATGCTATCGATATCTATCGATGCTATCTTCCCACCAAGAGGGCTGAGGTCTTCTTTTTACTTATCTGTGACATTATTATTATCTGTGACATGGAAACGCATGGCAAGTCGAAATATTGACCTGATTTTTCTTATGACATTTTTGCCATGATCAATCCACAATGATTTCTCCCAGCAGTATCACATATGCTAATCAGGATTCTTCCTAGGATAAACCTGATATCTGACAAAATCTGAAAGAACCCTCCAACACAAACCTGGGAGCAGGGAGCACAATGTGATCTGAGGGACTGTTGAGTGTGCTCGTTGTAGAGACCAAACTGAGGAAAGCACTTCCTCAGCTGCTGGTTGCACACTTGCTCCGAGAGCATGTAAGTGTCCACAGCTGCATGACATTCAACTCAAGGATTAGATCGGGAAATCATAGCACCCCAAAGTGAATGTCCCCACTGCCCTCTCAGTTACAACTGAACAGAGCAAATATTTGCAACGCAATATTTGACTTCACAGAAGCAATGCTTGCAAGCCTTTGACTTCACAGGATAGGTCTACAAAGCCAACAAATGCCAACTCTTTCCTTCCATGGTCCATTGGTGCGAAAACTCAAAGCGATGATGAAGACAAAAGACAGTCATATGACCTTTGACAATCCCTGAAAGCTATGCAGCCTACCATCTTTAATACAAGAAAGATGTTGGGTACTCAAACGTTCCCTCAAATTCATAGGATTTCATAGGTAGGTAGTCTAGTCTAAGTATGTCTAAGTTCCTTCAGCTCATGCTGGGATCCTCTGGATGATGGATGATACTCTATCTTCAAATCATTACCAAAGCAGCTTTCGCAAAGGGAAGCAAACACGAAGCAAACACAAAGCAAACACGAAGCAAACACCTACAAAATTCAATGACCATAGGAAGTACATCATGGTCATGGGCAACCCAGCATGGAAATTAATCTCTTGATGTTTATGATCAGGATGGGGGAGTGAAGCAGCAAATATTGGAATCACTGTGCCAATGACCAGCCACCAGGATTCTCGTTCAATTTTCAAATATAGGCCTCGTATGATAAATTATGATATAAATTATGATAAGGATTCCCCACTTTCTGAGTGCATGAGGGAAGCTCGGCACCGGCACCGCCTCACCCGCACACATTTCCCTGGACATCCAAGGTTCGTTTCATCGGGCATCCAGCTTTCCCAAATGTCCTTCCCCGTAAGAGAACTCTAAGAGAATGTAAGATTCACAAAATATCTCAAACTTGAAACTTTCAAGAAATTCCCAGTGAAGCTACCACTGACTTAGAAGATGACAGGGCTGCAGAGTTTCGACTGTTGGCGCAAAGCCCGGATCTTTGTACTTCTTTCTATGTCATTATAAGATTTAATGAGGTTCATATATGTTTATCCGGTTTCCGTGCCACAGCTGATTTTCCATAGTCCATACCCGAAGCCCGTGATTTTTTTTTTTGGCGGGTCTTTTCAGTCGTTGATTGATACTTCAACACAATGTCATGTTGGAAACTTTTAAGCCATCGACACCTGATTTGCTTTCAACCATCGACACGCGACATCTTCGGCAGAATCACCTGGCGGTGTCAAATGGATATTATCGCAGTGAGAGAAAAAAGGACATGGAGTAGAATAAGCGGAACCACCCGTGCCTGTCATTTCCAAACAAATTTGTGGCGGGCTCAAGTGACCACTCCAACCCTCTTGGTGAAGAGAAAAACACTGAGGTCAAACTGCTTGGTCTTGGTACTTGGATAACAGTTTTTACCTTCATCGCATCTAAAACGGGGGCACTTCGCACAGTTCGGGTTTTATGCCCTGCTGCGCAGAGCCTGGCCTGTATCCATGCGATCTGACATTAGTTTGTTGACGACCTCGATTCGGATCATTTCGACGGGTCTCGGTGCACTTCACTTTCACGAGACTACTCGAAGCGAAAGAGTTTGCATCGTTGCGTTGTCAGCAGGCTCGCCGGGTTTGCTGCAACCAAAGACAAGAGGTTTCCCTTCCCAAGATTTCTAACCTCTCCAAGATTCCCAAGCATAGAGTTTCGGAATGCAAGAGGTTTGAAAAGCTCTCACATGGGGTTCTGAAAAACTCAAGAAAATGTCGAAAACATAAAAAACGCACATTTCTTACCAATAAACTAGGTTCACCACACTACGCACTGAATGTTGCAAAACCGGTTCTTTCCTTGTGAATGCAGCAAGTCATGGCAAGAAGTCATGTCCTTTTCAATCTGACAGTGCTTCTTTCGGTTTGATTCTGAAACAGCGTCTTGGTCTTGGCACCGCATCCTTTCGCCAGGTTTCCAGACCCAGATTCCGCTTCCAAAATATTCCAAAATGGTTCCCAAGTGAAGGACTTTGGAAGACTGTGTTCTGCTGTTGGACAATCTGTTGGACATGTCATCTTGTAGTGTTTGGCTCATTGACTCATTGAATACGCTGTATTTGCTGCTGTATTTTTATCCGGATCTTAAACGTCCAGCTATCTACACCCCTCGTCTCGTTCTCAAAATCTGGATATACTTCAATTTTAGCCCATACCTTGCGTGGTCCGTTCTGGTCTCTCAAATTCTGACGTGGGCTTATAGAAGTCTTATAGTAGCGAGAACGAAAACAATGAGGATCAACCTGTGGTTGTCTAGATCCCTTGGCGCTTCCATCTTGTCTGAGACACATCTCTCTGAACATATGGAATCAGCGCTTGCCTCTCCACAAGAAACTTTGTCATACTCTAGGTTCTGTTTCTTTGTGCTACTTTCACTCAGACATGAAACTCTTATTAAATGATTGGGTTTACGGTGCGAAGACGTGACGACAAAATCATGATTTTGTGTTGCAATCCTGACATGATGGCTCTAGGATTACTTATTGGGGTTTGCCCATTGTCAGGTAGCTAGGACCTAGGAGAATTGGCGACAGAACGAGCTTCTGTACTTTTTTCTTTAGCAATTAAGATTTGGCTCCCAAGTTGGATGGTCACCACCAGTTCCGTACATTCTGCTTGGACAACTATTGGACAACCGTCTGGCAGAATCCACCGGCTTCACGCTGCCGGGACACGATCATATCGATATTGAGCGCCTTCAACAACTTGTACACGGTGGGTGCCAGTGCCTTGAGATCACCACTTCGTCAAAGGTCGCAACAAAGAGATAGAAACGCCAACAAAAACGCATCCGGTTCGAGAGAAAACAGCTCCCGACGTCGCCACTGTTGACCTGCCTGCAAATCAATGCTGGCATATTTCTCGATTGGTACATCTTCATCGCTGGTCAAATAGATTCCTGAGAGCACGAAGTTTCAAGACTTTGACCATGCCAGCATTTGAGCAAGGTGAGGTGTGCAGAAAGGTCAATGTGATCTCAAGTTGGCTTCCAATGCGAAAATAACTGGGAAAAACAGAAAGATATTGCGTTGGAAGTGTTGGTTTGTATTCGATACTTGACCCGCACCGCGTCATTTTCCCTATCACTCAACACCACAGCTGCATTCACAGGTGACATCCTCTGCTCAGGGACACCCCATTGTAAGTTTAGGAAAAATGCGCTTAAAAAACGACGCAATATAACTTTTTTTGATGGATTTTGACGGATCTCTCAGTTTGAGACATGTCCTTTTTGCAAACGTTTTCAGTGCTCTGAAAGGTGTTGCTGAGTCTCCGCGACGCTGCGCTGAGCGGTCTTGAGGCGGGAACAAAATCCGACTTGCATCCAGCCTGCCCCATCTGTCCAAAGTGGCGACCGCAAAAAAGGGGATTTGTCAGGTTGAGATAAGATATGATAAGATGCATAATGCATGAATAACATCTTTTTAATGATAATGAATGAATATCCATCTGTGACTATCTGCCTCTGAAAGTTTCTGGAGTTGGAAATCTTGAGCTGAAGCCCTTGAAACCCCAACCCCAACCAATTGTGCCATCTGTTAAGGCGATTCGATTCTGCGGCAGAATGGAATGCTCCAGGAAAGAACGTGGCGATACTGAGATGAACATACAATGCTATTACAATGCTTGCAAAACATCTAATTGCACCGGAGCCACGTCTGCGCATGTTCATCCTTGCATCTAACGAATTACAATGGAAAAAACAATGCTTTGGCCTTCAGCACGCGAGTATCTCTGTAATGATGTCTTCCGGGGCATAGAGTATCGCATATCTGTTTCCAATATAGGATCTATCAAAGGACCGGCACCTGATTCCCAACTCTGGCGGACCGTTGCATTGCGCCAAGATACGACAGAAAGGTGGGATCGGGCTGCCACCAATAGAATGAAGATTTGACCTGGGTGCATTTGACGATTGGTGCCGTGTTTTTACTCATTTTGCGACTGCTGCCACTAAAAGGGGATTCAGTGAGATGACCGATGCAGGGTTTCTTGGTTTCTGGTTACCCGGATCACACGTGAAGCAAATGTAAACAACACATTTTGGCATGACAAATCCACAAGCACCTCAAAAACACTGCTCCTCAAAATGCGCCCGCACGTGAGATCGGCTTCTACCTAAAAAATTAATATCCGCCGACCCCAGCCAGGAGGGCGAGCGCGTCTTGTTCTGTGAGTTATTACATGAAAACGTCCCTGCTGATGTGGCCCTTTACTTTCTTAAATTTTCGTCAGCGATGAGTCTGTTTGTACAGCTAACAGGCAAGAACCCCAATCTCAAGTCAAAAACAACTTTGCATCGCGCGAGAAAATACGGCATCATCGCTAAAGCTTTCGGCGGTATCCCTATGCCAATTAGACATGGTTTGTCTAAAAAAAAAGAAAACGTAAATGAACGGTCGATGGTTGACTCTGAAATAGATGGTTTGCCAACAGCAATACCCCAGCTTGCTGTAGCCTTGATAGTGGTTTCCAAAAGAGACATCGATCTTGTAGAGAGCAGGGAGGGGAAATTTCATGAGACATGGGATCCGAATCAAATATGAAATCTGGGAAATGGTCCCATGGAATATTCCCCACATCACTGTGTGGGGTTCTTGTTTTTCGCTTGGATCCCGCCGGGGCACCTCCGCCTCCTCCTCCTCCGCCTCCGCCTCCTCCTCCACTCACTCACTACTCACTCACTCACTCACTCACTCACTCACTCACTCACTCACACTCACTCACTCCCTCACTCACACTCACTCACTCCACTCACTCACTCACTCACTCACTCACTCACTCACTCACTCACTCACTCACTCACTCACTCACTCACTCACTCACTCACTCACTCACTCACTCACTCAGCGCGTGTGGCCGCCGCTGAGGCCGCGGCTGTCTTTCGCGTGGCAGGCGCAGTCCACAGAGCCTCCTGGAGGAGCTGCGGCGCTAGTGGCCGCCGCTGGGGCCGCGGTTGCCTTTTGCGTGGCAAGCAGTACACAGAGCCTCTTGGAGGAGCTGCGGCGCGCGTGGCCGCCGCTGGGGCCGCGGCTGCCTTTCGCGTGGCAGGCGCAGTACACAGATGGTCCTGGAAGAGCTGCGGCGCGCGTCACTCACTCACTCACTCACTCACTCACTCACTCACTCAGTCAGAGCCTCCTGGAGGAGCTGCGGCACGCGTGGTCGCCGCTGGGGCCGCGGCTGCCTTTCGCGTGGCAGGCGCAGTACACAGGAGCCTCTTGGAGGAGCTGCGGCGCGCGTGGCCGCCGCTGGGGCCGCGGCTGCCTTTCGCGTGGCAGGCGCAGTACACCGATGGTCCTGGAGGAGCTGCGGCGTGCGTGGCCGCTGCTGGGGCTGCGGTTGCCTTTTGCGTGACAGGCGCAGTACACAGAGCCTCCTGGAGGAGCTGCGGCGCGCGTGGCCGCTGCTGGGGCTTTCGCGTGGCAGGCGCAGTCCGCAGAGCCTCCTGGACGAGCTGCGGTGCGCGTGGCCGCCGCTGGAGCCGCGGCTGCCTTTCGTGTGGCAGGCGCAGTACACAGAGGTATTGGAGGTGCGGTGCGCGTGGTCGCCGCTGGGGCCGCGGCTGCCTGTCGCGTGGCAGGCGCAGTACACAGAGCCTCCTGGAGGAGCTGCGGCGCGCGTGGCAAACACTTTTGTTCAACCTTTACGTTTAACAGGGAACATACAGACGACAGTGTATCACTCCGCTACTTTCGGTCACAGTTCATTTCATATTTCTTTTACCTCATCACCTGTGCCAGGTACCCTACACTGCACAAAATTATGACGTTTGAACTTGCGCGGCCTCTCTTGGAAAAGAGCTCGTGTGCTGCATGTATCATGCGTCGGGCTCTTGCTTTTCACTTGGATCCCGCCGCTCCTGTTCCCGCCTCCGCCGTCGTAGACTTATCATCACCACTCATCACAGGTCCACTTATCACATCACAACTTCTCATCACAACTCATCACAACTTATCACATCCCAACTCATCACAGTTCCACTTCTCACACCTCGCTTATCACATCACAACTTCTCATCACAACTCATCACAACTCATCACAACTTGTCACATCCCAACTCATCACAGTTCCACTTCTCACACCTCACTTATCATATCAGAACTCATCACAGCTCCACCTCTCACACCTGACATCACAAGTCCACTTCTCACACCTCACTTCTCACACCTCCCTGAAGTTCACATTAACCTTAGATACATAAAGGCTTGACATGTGGGGTTATCCGGTCCTTTTATGTTTTTTTCCATCCCATTGTCTCATTGCCATCAAAGATTTTGATCCCTTATATATACCTCTGACACTTTGTTGGTTCTTCCTCGGATACATTGTTGGTTCTTCCCCTGGGCCCTTTGTTAAATATCACGGCTGGAAAACAGAAGCTTAAAGAAGGGTCACAGACCCCTGGAAGCCATCCGCGGGTATAGCAAACACATGTGGGGCTAAATACCCACAAATGTGCTGATATCAAGGTATAGTGGGAATAGCACGTCACGACCTGCCACGCAAAGTGCCGCGGCGCCCTGGGCGACCAACGGGGACCAAGAGCACCACCAGAGCCAGCCCAGTGCTATAAGTGCCACGCCTGCCACGCAAAACCAAGGTTGATGTGAGCAAGCCACGGCGACGATGCCAAAGTGAAGGTGGATGTCGCCAAGTGCCACACCTGCCACGCACATGATACGTCCATGCCGCCAAGTGCCACGGAGAGATGGTGGTGACAAAGTTGTGTGTGACAAAGTTTTGTGTGTGAGAAAGTTGTGTGTGAAAGATGGTGTGTAACAAAGTTGTGTGTGACGAAGTTGTGTGTGACAGATGGTGTGTGACAAAGAGGTGTGTGACAAAGTGGTGTGACAAAGTTGTGTGTGACAAAGTTTTGTGTGTGAAAGATGGTGTGTGACAAAGTGCGTGTGACAAAGTGGTTTGTGACAAAGCAGTATGTGACAAAGTTGTATGTGACAAAGTTGTGTGTGACAAAGTGGTGTGTGACAAAGAGGTGTGTGTGACAAAGCTGTGTGTGAAAGATGGTATGCAACAAAGTTGTGTGTGACAAAGTTGTGCTTGAAAGATGGTGTGTGTGACAAAGTTGTGTGTGAAAGATGGTGAGTGACAACGAGGCGGCTGAGAGGGAGGAGGAGGAGGAGGACGAGGAGCGGGATACAGAATCAAAAACAAGAACCCCACACAAAGATGTGGGGAACAAGGTTTGCCTATAGGAGATGCAGCGGACCCTCACAGCTTCTCATCTCTGTTCTATGAATTCGAAATCATTTTGCTTCACCCCCTTTCAATTGTGACCATCACTTCTCAACTCTTCTCAGACCATCACAGCTCTTCTCAATTTTCGCAACTCTTTTTAACGGCTCTCAAAGTTGTTTCATCTCTTTCCACCTCAGCTCAACTCTTTGAACCTCTTCCCTGCTCTTCGCAACTCTTCTCAACGACTCTCACCTCTGCCCACCTCGTCTTAACTCTTCTCAACTCGTCTCAACTCTTCTCACCTCTTGCCACCCCTGCAACTTTTCCCACCTCTTCTCACCTCCGCTCAACTCATCTCACCTCTTTCTCAGCTCATCTCAACTCTTCTCACCTGACCTTCTCAACTCTGGCCAACTCTTCTCAACTCTTCTCACCTCCTGTCACAGAGATGCTTATACACAAAGCAAGCTTTTACACGGAGAAGCATTTACACACAGCAAGCTCTTACACAGAGAAGCTCTTGCACAGAGAAGCTTCTACACAAAGCAAGCTCTTACACAGAGAAGCTTTTGCACACAGAAGCTTTTACGCAAAGCAAGCCTTTACACGGAGAAGCTTTTACACACAGCAAGCTTTTACACAGAGGAGCTTTTCCACAAAGCAAACTTTTACACAGAGGAGGTTTTCCACAAAGCAAGCTTTTGTACAGAGAAGCTTTTACACACAGCAAGCTTTTACACAGAGAAACTTTTACATAAAGCAAGCTTTTGTACAAGGAAGCTTTTACACACAGCAAGCTTTTACACAGAGAAGCTGCTACACAGAATGCGCCAAAATTGAGAAATATCCGCTGCCAAAGCACCATTCGCAACCTTCATGCAGCCACTACATTTTACGATTTACGATTCGCAGCTGCGAAAGACATTTAAAAAAATCTGCACGCAGCCGCAGCAGCGAGGAACCTGAACGCAGCCATTTCACTGCGATCTGCAGAGACTGAGTTGCAAAACGCAAAAGAATGCTTACGCACAACGGCTACACAAATTGCAAAACCGGATCTCGACGCCCAAGCGGAAAAACGATGATTTCGAAGCCCCAAAGGAAAATCATCAGCACCAAAATGGAAAAAACCTGCTACAAAGCACCATTCACATCTGTCACGCAACCACTACAATACGATTTACGACAAGTACTTGCAAAAGAAAATCAGAATCGCAAGACAGCACTGGAGAACAAGTACTCTTCGGGAAGCCTTGGCGCAGCCATTCCACTGCGATCTGCACAGACTGAATTGCAGAACACAAAAGAAGTGCAACATACTACTGTAGAACACATCGCTTTGATGCACCAGTTCCAATTCACAAAGTATCTCAACACATGCAAAGCACAATAGCGCAGCATCAGCAAAAAATAGAAAAAGTCAGCTGCAACCCTCAGTTACATTGCGCGCGCAAAACGAGCCGGATTCGACGGCAAAGTGACGACGCCCGAAACCGTCGCGCACGCGAGCCAACTTTTCTCTGCAACGGAACCTCCGTGTACCCGAAAAAACACAATGTTTCGTGCAAATCCTAACATTCAAATCGCATCCATGATGTAACAGTTCCAATGCGATGCGATCCACCAACAGTGACTTGCAAATGGCAATCAGAAATGCAAGACAGTACTGAAAATTATAGGACTGGAAAACCCCACATGT